CTTTAACAACATTGAAGAGGGGCCAAAAATAATCCACTTTACAGAACTGTAAAAACCCTAAAAACAAACATAGGTATGGCTAAGCTCTTATGCAAGAAAAAGGGCCAAAAGGTGGCCAAAGAGGCAAGTGGTATATGCACAGCCCAAACTGAAAAATTCCCTTCTACAACATTGAAGAGGGACCAAAAATAAGCATATTTACAGAACTGTAAAAACTCCACAACAGTATACAAACATGCTAGAAATGCAATGCAAAATGAGGCTCAAAAGTGGCTATAACACAAAGTTTACAAAATATTCCACAAAAGGCCAAAGCCCTTAATAAAATATGAAGAATGGGCCAAAATAAGACTATTTTCAGTACTATAAAAAGGCCAAAAACAGAAGCACAATGGGCTGCCAAAGCATGCAAAAATGGGGACCAAAGAGGGGATATAACATGAAGTGGCATATAGAGGTCCCAAATAGTGATGAGCCCTTCTTCAATGTTGAAGAGGGGCTCAAAATAAGCCTATTTTTAGTTTTGTAAAAAGCCCAAAAATGGAAGCATAATGGGCTGCCAAAGCATGCAAGAAAATAGCATTCAAGGAAGATATTGAAGCAAGTGCAAGATGGGGGGCTCAAACAGGGTTGAGCCCTTAAGAAAAGGTGAAAAAGAGCTCAAAATAAGGCCACTTTCAGTTAGGGCCGGAGCTCAAAACAGCAAGCAAGATGGCTAGCGGAATGGTGCAAAAAATAAGCTCAAAAAGAAGGAAAGTGGACTTACCCTTGAAGACAAATCTTGGATGCTTCTTGGCTTGAGTTTGCAGCACCCTTAGGCCTTGGAGAACACCTTCAAACTTTTGGAATGGAGGATGGAAGGGTGGGGGTTGGTGGTGTAGAAGAAATGGTGGTGTAGGACTTGGAGGTTTTCAAGGAAAATGAGAGAAATGGAGGAGAATTTTTGTATACAAAGCTTGAAGACCAATTTTTCTCCCCCTCAAGACCAATGCTTGCAGCTGGTTATAAGGACCAAAAAGGGAGAGACAAGGAGGGGAAAAGGAGGCAAGTCTTCCCCCACAAAATATCCCCCGGATTGAGATATTTTCTGGGGGAAACAACTATACAGCTGTAAAGTGCAAATTGAGAGGATCGTGGCCGGCCAGTTTAAAAGGGAGAAAAAGGTCAACCATCAGGTAAGTGGCCGGCCGGCCAGAAAAAGTGGCTGGCCGGCTAGTTCAAAGGGAAAAAAGTGGCCGGCCACCCCCTAGGATGAAGCCCCAGAAGTTTGCTTTCCAATGGCGCAAACCTTGCATTAAAATTCCTCCTGTAGAAAAAGTTATGCCCTTTTCCGTGAAGCCACGCAATTCAGTCCAACCCGGACTTCAACCAACCACATCTCTCCCCCCCGGACTTGGACTTGGGAGATTCTTGACGTGCACAACACAACCATGTAGTCAAAAACTGGAGAAAGTGAACCAGGAGAGAGAAAAGGCCACTTTTAGGAGGGGTTCAAAAGGGTCACACACAATTACTGGCCGGCCATATGATATTGGTGGCCTCCCTGGTGTGTACAACACAAATATGTGGTTTAGGGCTGGAAAAAGTGGCCTTAGGGTGGTCAACATTGGCTTTCAAGTGAGAAAAACGGGCGACGGAGGGCGATAGAGGAATAAAACTGGTTGTCGGAACAATTACTGGCCTCCCACCCTTCTACGACCTTCTTAGCAGTGAAAATAAGGTCTCCACCAAAAATGAGCCCAAACCGATGCAAAATGAAGGTTCGGGGGCCGAAACGCGCAGCCCGAGGCCCCGAAAATTGGCTGTTAGGCACCGGGAGTGGTGTTCGACCACGAAGTGGGTCTCTCCGACCCCAGTGTCCCTTGAAAGGGAGTAAAAAGGAAGTATGCCAAAAATCAGAGCAAGCGGAGATGGTTAAGCGGTCCCAAACCGAGGCACACGGCCAACGGTCCCAAAAAACCGGAAACCGGGCTCCGAAATGGACAAAATGGCCTACAACCACAAAATGTAGCCCATGGCCACTGAGAGATGGTCTATGGGACCTCTCCCTCCCCTCAGGAAAAGAAACAGAGAAAACCGAGGCAAGGCACAGAAGAGGGTTCGGAAGTCCGGAGGCGGGGTTCACGGCCGCGACTCTGAAACTTCTGAACAAGCACATTATGCAACATCACCAAGCGCTCAATCGGTGACGTCTGAGTCTTAAGGTCGGTCAAAAATGGGGTGTCTACACATAGTTTTTAAAATATTTGCCTCCCCCCTTAGATCCATCCTGGTCTAAGTCAAGTATCCAAATTATTATGAAATTGAGATTGTAATGATTTTGCATAATATTATAAGTTAGAATAAACAAAATAATAAATTTTCAATATTTTCTAATTTCTTACCAAAGATGAAAATAGCGGGATTACAGTAATATCTTATTTTTAAAAAAATTTATTAAGTTAACGTATCCACTTTAAAAAAAAAAGAAGATAAACTACTACATGACTAAATTGATGTCTATTTCTGCTACTCTTTGAACAAATGTATAGATTATATAAATATATATTTAACAAAATTCATTTTATCCCTTAGAGTTTGAAGCCGAAGCATTTTACTCACCTTTGATTCAACTAGCTGAAAATTAAAAATTTATTTTCAAAAACTCAAAACGAATGTAATTAAAAACTCACTACGTTTGGGTAGTGCCGATGTCTTCTGATGATTTAAGAGGAGGAGGATCGACAAGAAGATGACACAGAGGAGTTGGAAGACATTGCGAGTCATTTCTTGCTTTGTTGAACTTGTGTCAATCCTTTATATCTTCATCTCCAATTTATAATGTATTGAAGAGTAACACTCTATAAATAAAAAATTCATATATAATATGAGAAAAAAAAATTTCCTTCTTTTTTTCCTAACCGTGTGGCCCACACGGTGTGGGTCGTTGTCACTTTTATCTTAATGCATTTGGAAATAATAGGGGTTGATTGTGATATACTCCTATCAATGTTACAATAATTGTTTTTTTAATTTTTTTTTATATTACAATTTTGATATATCACTAATATTAGAATATTTTGACATAAGACCTTCCTATAAGACTATTTGTTAAATAAATCCTACATGAATATTATTAATATTTAATAAATATAAATATATTTTAAAATGATAAGCAAAATATGATATAGATATATTGTGGTTATAGATATTTTGTTATGATATTTTTATCAAGTTCTAGCTAACCACGTTGAGCGTATACATTATTAAATTGTTGGGTAAATTAAACTTTAGCTCTTGTAAATTTATATAAATTTTAGGACACTCGGATCATAAGTCAAGTTTTCATAGTTCTAGGGCAATAATCCCAAACTCTATTCTTTTGGGGCTAAAAGGACAATAAAAATTTAAAATAGGATTAATTACCTAAAAGTCCTATCTACATATTTGGTGGTAGCTTAGGTCTTATTAAAAAGTTTTTGAACCAATAAATCTCATTTAGAGGTAAAAAGACGTTTTGCCCTTTAATTCCCAAACTGAGAATGTTCTCAATTTCAAAACTGAGAATGTTCTCAATTTATAATTATCAAAACTAAGAAATTTTTTAATTTTTTTCTAGTATGAACTAAGAATATTATCAAAACTAAGAAATTTATAATTATCAATTTTGAGAAATTTCTCAATATTTTTTCATGATTAAAATTGAGAATATTATAAATTGAGAAGGTTCTCAATTTCAAAAAAACCCTAGATCTCTCTCTCTTTCTTTCTCTCTAATGGCAGTGGTGTGGCATCTGTGATGGAAAGCAGATCAGGTCGAAGCCCAGTGATAATGCGATCGGTAAATCGAAGAAGAAGGTTGATGGGTCAATAAGGGAGAGAAGAAGCCTGCTGAGAAGAAGCTGGCGGAGGAGAAGAAGAGCACCGTCGCCGAGAAAGCTCCGGCGGAGAAGAAACCGAAGGCTGGGAAGAAGCTGCCCAAGGAGGGCAGAGCAGCTGCCGGAGACAAGAAGAAGAAGATGACGAAGAAGAGCGTTGAGACCTACAAGATCTACATCTTCAAGGTGTTGAAGCAGGTTCATCCGGACATCGGGATCTCGAGCAAGGCCATGGGGATCAGAGACAGTTTGCCTGAAGTTTGTTGGAGGGGTAAATTAGTTTATTAAAAATTAATGGGACCTAAAGGAGCAAATAATTTTATCTAGGATTTAATGGATCATAAGTTCACAAAATGGGACTTGTATGTAAATGGCCCATTAAAATACTATATTACCTCTACGTATATGTCCATGTGTCACCTATATGTTCATGTGTCATCACCGTATTTGTGCACATGTCATTTATTTATCCATTTAATTTGCCTATCTATCCATATCAATACTATCACCAATCATCACTAGTAATCGCCACCATCAGCTATCTCCAAAGACTTTTCAGTTGGCGACTAGTAGTAGTACGGTCCAAATAGAAAAAAAAAAAAAACCTTCAAAATAATAATTTGTTATTCTCACAAAACAATTTCATTAATTATATTCTTATTTCTTACCGAAGAAGAAAATAGGGAGATTACAGTAATATCCTAGTTTTTAAAATTTTTATTAAATTAGCATATCCCCTTAAAAAAATAAAAAGAGGATAAACTAACTACACATTTAAATTGATGTCTATTTGCACTATTCTTTGAACACATGTATAGTAAAATACTAAAAATTATATATATTTATATATATTTTTAGCAAAATTCATTTTATGCCTCAGAGTTTGAAGCCGAAGCATTTTGCTTACCTTTGATTCAACTAGTTGAACTCCAATGGCCTACTATTCTACTTGCCATAGATAGCAGATGCCATTTCTGTTCTCAAATTTGGCAGGTTGAATAGCAGCTGCTAAACATGCCATATCAGCAAATATCGACAGATTTTTGGCTCCAAATTAAGTTGAAAAAACAGAATTCAAACAGTAGAAAACCTCCGAAACTTCATAATCTAACCCAAATTTTGAAAGAGTTGCCAAATTCACGAATTTTAGAATAAACTTCATAGTTTCAAAATAAATCTATAGTCGAATTTCTCAAAATATATCTATAAATTTCACAATTTCAGAATAAATCACAATTTCACAATTTCATAAACGAATTTATAGATGATAAATACTCGGATCGACCTCAAGGGCTTCTTTTTTCGCCGACTGGTTTAACAACAGAGAGAGTGAGAACACTGGTTTTTGAGATTAGCCATCGAAGCTCGGTGATCTGTTTAAGAACAGTAAGAGAGAGAGAGAGAGAGAGAGAGAGAGAGAGAGAGAAGACACCATCTTAGCCGACTGGTTTGAGGACAAAGAGAGAGAGAGAGAGAGAGAAAGAGAGACAGATCAGAGAGTATACTGGTTTGAGGATAGAGAAAGAGACAGAACGAAGAGATTTGACGATAGAGAGAGAGACAGATCGAAGAGTAAACAAATCGGAGACAGATCGAAGAGTAAACAAATCGGAGACAGATCGAAGAGTAAACAAATCGGAGACAGATCGAAGAGTAAACAAATCGGAGACAGATCGAAGAGTAAACAAATCGGAGACAGATCGAAGAGTAAACAAATCGGAGACAGATCGAAGAGTAAACAAATCGGAGACAGATCGAAGAGTAAACAAATCGGAGACAGATCGAAGAGTAAACAAATCGGAGACAGATCGAAGAGTAAACAAATCGGAGACAGATCGAAGAGTAAACAAATCGGAGACAGATCGAAGAGTAAACAAATCGGAGACAGATCGAAGAGTAAACAAATCGGAGACAGATCGAAGAGTAAACAAATCGGAGACAGATCGAAGAGTAAACAAATCGGAGACAGATCGAAGAGTAAACAAATCGGAGACAGATCGAAGAGTAAACAAATCGGAGACAGATCGAAGAGTAAACAAATCGGAGACAGATCGAAGAGTAAACAAATCGGAGACAGATCGAAGAGTAAACAAATCGGAGACAGATCGAAGAGTAAACAAATCGGAGACAGATCGAAGAGTAAACAAATCGGAGACAGATCGAAGAGTAAACAAATCGGAGACAGATCGAAGAGTAAACAAATCGGAGACAGATCGAAGAGTAAACAAATCGGAGACAGATCGAAGAGTAAACAAATCGGAGACAGATCGAAGAGTAAACAAATCGGAGACAGATCGAAGAGTAAACAAATCGGAGACAGATCGAAGAGTAAACAAATCGGAGACAGATCGAAGAGTAAACAAATCGGAGACAGATCGAAGAGTAAACAAATCGGAGACAGATCGAAGAGTAAACAAATCGGAGACAGATCGAAGAGTAAACAAATCGGAGACAGATCGAAGAGTAAACAAATCGGAGACAGATCGAAGAGTAAACAAATCGGAGACAGATCAGAGAGTATACTGTTGTTAAGCTCAAAGTCAAAGACACAGAGAGAGAGAGAGAGAGAGAGAGAGAGAGAGAGAGAGGTTTCCATGATGGAAGAGGAAAAGGGAAGAGGAGAATGAGAGTTAGAGTGAGAGGGAGAGTGAAGACAGAGACACAAAGAGAGAGAGAGAGAGAGAGAGAGAGAGAGAGAGAGAGAGAGAGAGAGAGGATGGCTAGTCTTGTTTGCATCAAGTTTCCTATGAAAAATTCAATAAGAGATCAACTGAATCTAGTGTGGGCACAGATATTATATTATTTAAGAGTTTAACATAACAAATAAATGGTTAAAATTTATTCATAACATACTTTGGAATACACCCTTTTATGTTGCATTACACGAACATAAATTATGTGGGTAACCTCTTGCAAATTTTCAGAAAATTTCCCTGCCTTTGCTTGCCCTTTACGGAAACACCAACCCCCTTGTAAATTTCCAGATAATTTCTGAACTTTTAAGGGGAGTTTGATTTGCTGGAATGAAATTGGATAGAAATGAAATCGAAATGAATCTGGAATGAAATGAAGTGGCCCAACCATGGCATGGGGTTGTTAGGTTTATGAATTGCCTAGAAATTAATTTATGAACTTACTCAGAAGAGTTGGAGCATTGATGGCTAGTCTTGTCTGCATCAAGTCTCCTATGACAAATTCAATAAGAGATCAACTGAATTTAGTGTGGACATAGATATTATACTATTTAAGAGTTTAATATAACAAATAAATGGTTAAGATTTATTCATAACATACTTTGGAATGCACCCTTTTATATTGCATTGCATGAACATAAATTATGTGGGTAACCTATTGTAAATTTTCAGATAATTTCCTTGCCTTTGCTTGCCCTTTACGGAAACACCAACCCCCTTGTAAATTTCCAGATAATTTCTGAACTTTTAAGGGGAGTTTGATTTGCTGGAATGAAATTGGATAGAAATGAAATCGAAATGAATCTGGAATGAAATGAAGTGGCCCAACCATGGCATGGGGTTGTTAGGTTTGTCAATTGCCTAGAAATTAATTTATGAACTTACTAGCATTGATGGCTAGTCTTGTTTGCATCAAGTTTCCTATGAAAAATTCAATAAGAGATCAACTGAATCTAGTGTGGGCACAGATATTATATTATTTAAGAGTTTAACATAACAAATAAATGGTTAAAATTTATTCATAACATACTTTGGAATACACCCTTTTATGTTGCATTACACGAACATAAATTATGTGGGTAACCTCTTGCAAATTTTCAGAAAATTTCCCTGCCTTTGCTTGCCCTTTACGGAAACACCAACCCCCTTGTAAATTTCCAGATAATTTCTGAACTTTTAAGGGGAGTTTGATTTGCTGGAATGAAATTGGATAGAAATGAAATCGAAATGAATCTGGAATGAAATGAAGTGGCCCAACCATGGCATGGGGTTGTTAGGTTTGTCAATTGCCTAGAAATTAATTTATGAACTTACTAGCATTGATGGCTAGTCTTGTTTGCATCAAGTTTCCTATGAAAAATTCAATAAGAGATCAACTGAATCTAGTGTGGGCACAGATATTATATTATTTAAGAGTTTAACATAACAAATAAATGGTTAAAATTTATTCATAACATACTTTGGAATACACCCTTTTATGTTGCATTACACGAACATAAATTATGTGGGTAACCTCTTGCAAATTTTCAGAAAATTTCCCTGCCTTTGCTTGCCCTTTACGGAAACACCAACCCCCTTGTAAATTTCCAGATAATTTCTGAACTTTTAAGGGGAGTTTGATTTGCTGGAATGAAATTGGATAGAAATGAAATCGAAATGAATCTGGAATGAAATGAAGTGGCCCAACCATGGCATGGGGTTGTTAGGTTTGTCAATTGCCTAGAAATTAATTTATGAACTTACTAGCATTGATGGCTAGTCTTGTTTGCATCAAGTTTCCTATGAAAAATTCAATAAGAGATCAACTGAATCTAGTGTGGGCACAGATATTATATTATTTAAGAGTTTAACATAACAAATAAATGGTTAAAATTTATTCATAACATACTTTGGAATACACCCTTTTATGTTGCATTACACGAACATAAATTATGTGGGTAACCTCTTGCAAATTTTCAGAAAATTTCCCTGCCTTTGCTTGCCCTTTACGGAAACACCAACCCCCTTGTAAATTTCCAGATAATTTCTGAACTTTTAAGGGGAGTTTGATTTGCTGGAATGAAATTGGATAGAAATGAAATCGAAATGAATCTGGAATGAAATGAAGTGGCCCAACCATGGCATGGGGTTGTTAGGTTTGTCAATTGCCTAGAAATTAATTTATGAACTTACTAGCATTGATGGCTAGTCTTGTTTGCATCAAGTTTCCTATGAAAAATTCAATAAGAGATCAACTGAATCTAGTGTGGGCACAGATATTATATTATTTAAGAGTTTAACATAACAAATAAATGGTTAAAATTTATTCATAACATACTTTGGAATACACCCTTTTATGTTGCATTACACGAACATAAATTATGTGGGTAACCTCTTGCAAATTTTCAGAAAATTTCCCTGCCTTTGCTTGCCCTTTACGGAAACACCAACCCCCTTGTAAATTTCCAGATAATTTCTGAACTTTTAAGGGGAGTTTGATTTGCTGGAATGAAATTGGATAGAAATGAAATCGAAATGAATCTGAAATGAAATGAAGTGGCCCAACCATGGCATGGGGTTGTTAGGTTTATGAATTGCCTAGAAATTAATTTATGAACTTACTAGCATTGATGGCTAGTCTTGTTTGCATCAAGTTTCCTATGAAAAATTCAATAAGAGATCAACTGAATCTAGTGTGGGCACAGATATTATATTATTTAAGAGTTTAACATAACAAATAAATGGTTAAAATTTATTCATAACATACTTTGGAATACACCCTTTTATGTTGCATTACACGAACATAAATTATGTGGGTAACCTCTTGCAAATTTTCAGAAAATTTCCCTGCCTTTGCTTGCCCTTTACGGAAACACCAACCCCCTTGTAAATTTCCAGATAATTTCTGAACTTTTAAGGGGAGTTTGATTTGCTGGAATGAAATTGGATAGAAATGAAATCGAAATGAATCTGGAATGAAATGAAGTGGCCCAACCATGGCATGGGGTTGTTAGGTTTATGAATTGCCTAGAAATTAATTTATGAACTTACTAGCATTGATGGCTAGTCTTGTTTGCATCAAGTCTCCTATGACAAATTCAATAAGTGATCAACTGCATCCAGTGTGGGTACAGATATTATACTATTTAAGAGTTTAATATAACAAATAAATGGTTAAGATTTATTCATAACATACTTTGGAATGCAGCCTTTTATATTGCATTGCATGAACATAAATTATGTGGGTAACCTATTGTAAATTTTCAGATAATTTCCTTGCCTTTGCTTGCCCTTTACGGAAACACCAACCCCCTTGTAAATTTCCAGATAATTTCTGAACTTTTAAGGGGAGTTTGATTTGCTGGAATGAAATTGGATAGAAATGAAATCGAAATGAATCTGGAATGAAATGAAGTGGCCCAACCATGGCATGGGGTTGTTAGGTTTGTCAATTGCCTAGAAATTAATTTATGAACTTACTAGCATTGATGGCTAGTCTTGTTTGCATCAAGTCTCCTATGACAAATTCAATAAGTGATCAACTGCATCCAGTGTGGGTACAGATATTATACTATTTAAGAGTTTAATATAACAAATAAATGGTTAAGATTTATTCATAACATACTTTGGAATGCAGCCTTTTATATTGCATTGCATGAACATAAATTATGTGGGTAACCTCTTGTAAATTTCTAGATAATTTCCCTGCCTTTGTTTTCCCTTTACGAAAACACCAACCTTTTATAAATTTCCAGATGATTTCCAAACTTTTAAGGGGAGTTTGGCTCCGTTTAGTAGGGCTTATTTTCAGCTTATGTCAGTTTTTAGCTTAATTTAAGTTATTTTGATGTGTTTGGCTCAACTTAGCAATACAACTTATAACTTTTTGTAAGTCAAAAATTAACTTATTCTTTGAGTGGGGGAGGAGAAGCTTAATTTATAAGTCAAAAATCAGCTTTTGTTCACAACTATAAGTTATAAGCTGTTAGACTATAAATTATAATCACTTTCCCATAGTTCTACCAAACGGGCCTTTTGGTTTGCTGGAATGATATTGAATAGAAATGAAATTGAAATGAATCTGGAATGAAATGAAGTGGCCCAACCATGGCATGGGGTTGTTAGGTTTGTCAATTGCCTAGAAATTAATTTATGAACTTACTAGCATTGGTGGCTAGTCTTGTTTGCATCAAGTCTCCTATGACAAATTCAATAAGTGATCAACTGCATCCAGTGTGGGTACAGATATTATACTATTTAAGAGTTTAATATAACAAATAAATGGTTAAGATTTATTCATAACATACTTTGGAATGCACCCTTTTATATTGCATTGCATGAACATAAATTATGTGGGTAACCTCTTGTAAATTTTCAGAAAATTTCCCTGCCTTTGCTTGCCCTTTATAGAAACACCAACCCGTTTGTAAATTTTCAGATAATTTCTAAACTTTTAAGGGGAGTTTGATTTGTTGGAATGATATTGGATAGAAATGAAAATGAAATTAATTTGGAATGAAATGAAGTGGCCCAACCATGGCATGGGGTTGTTAGGTTTGTCAATTGCCTAGAAATTAATTTATGAACTTACTAGCATTGGTGGCTAGTCTTGTTTGCATCAAGTCTCCTATGACAAATTCAATAAGTGATCAACTGCATCCAGTGTGGGTACAGATATTATACTATTTAAGAGTTTAATATAACAAATAAATGGTTAAGATTTATTCATAACATACTTTGGAATGCAGCCTTTTATATTGCATTGCATGAACATAAATTATGTGGGTAACCTCTTGTAAATTTTCAGAAAATTTCCCTGCCTTTGCTTGCCCTTTATAGAAACACCAACCCGTTTGTAAA